TTGGATCCTACTATGCCGCCTCCACTCTTTAGTTATGTACATTTATAGTAATTGTAAAATACATTTAAATTGCTGTAATTAAATTAGTGGAGCTAAGCCATTTAATTTTAAGATTAAACTTATGAATCTATTTATTCTTTTCTCATTGATTTTAGTAAAACAAAAACAACTAACTATAAGGAAACTCCTAAATAATTATTGGGTTTTGTTTTATTTTGCTTTACCAACTTCTAAATAATTAGTTTTAATGCTTCAACATTTCTAGTAGGTTTAATTTAACTTGACCTGAAAGTGTTTTTATCTTTAAGATTCAGATTTCACTGTATTTCCTAAACAGATATTGATTTTTTTTCCTCAGTAAGAGACTGTAAGTGAAATGTGCTTCGGTAAATGTGCACCAATAGTGTGTGTAAACGCACATGTGTTTTTGATGTGTCGAATGGGGAGCCTTGTGCAGTGGGAAAGAAAAGAAACAATTCCTAAGCAAGGAGAAAAGCATGCCCACTAAAGTGTACATCATATTCTCATTGTATTAATCTATATGCTCGCATATAGAATTAATCTATGGCATAGAATAAAACCATACTATTATAGATCAAAGTGAAAAGCCCAATAACAGAAAATTTCAGATCTTATTTTACTTTCAATCTGATACATGGTCAAGTATTTTGTTGAAATACATGTTGAACAAATATTTGGATTTATAAATATATGATGGTATTAATTTGGGAAAAATTTATTCTAAGTAAAAATAATTTATTTTGGTTCATTCCATATTGCTATCTTCTGTCTTGTTACCTGATTATGTCCATTGTTTGAACATATTTTCATATTAATTATTTTGACAAATCACATCTAAGGAACAGAATCAAATTGCTAATCATGAGTGCAATAAAAGTCTAATCTTTAGCTTTGTCTTTGCATATTTTACTTTCACAGGCAATATTTATCTGGTCACTGGTGCAATTTCATAGACCTGATTATGGCACAATTCCATACCCTGACTGGGGAGTTGCTTTAGGCTGGTGTATGATTATTTTCTGCATTATTTGGATACCAATTATGGCTATCATAAAAATAATTCAGGCTAAAGGAAACATCTTTCAAGTGAGTGCATTAAAATTTATAATACATTATACAAAGTAGTTATGATCAAAATGATGATTAATTTATTCATATGGTGGTAATATGATATTATAGAAAATGTAATTAATTACTCCTTCCTCTTGGCTACTTCTATGCCTGACACAACCATCTGTTACTAGTGCACAACATGGTATTATATTATTTATATATTTGCTGTGTTTCTCTATACTAGACTATAAGCTCCTTGTGGGGAAACTCTTGCCTTACATGTTGCTGTATTCCCAGGCCTTGCTACAGTGCTTAGCATATGACAGCTATGGCATCTGTACCTGTGCTGAATTGTCCCTGAAGATGGCACAAAGCAAATGACCTGTTTGCTTTATATCCAGTCACTATTTTTAAACCTCATCTAGCTAAAATATACATTCTAATAATGATTTTATACTGGAATAGTCCTGGTAAATAGCTTGAACTCAATTTAGACCCTGAGTCATCCCTCTTCCATGGAGGTCTAGGGGTATGAAGTTCATTATGACATCTCAGTAGGACAATGACATAATACGCTCATGAGCCTTAGATTTAAATAAATTCCTAAGTCCATACAACAATAAATCCAAATCAATGGCTTGATCCTGAAACTCCCTTTCCTTTGTTCTTGAAACACATTCCACATATACACTGGTTTAGATCCTCAGCTCATCCTCATCCTAAGGTCAGGATGGAAATGTCTGATCAGTGAAGATACAAAATAGTCACTCTGTTACTCTAATAGGTTCATACACCTTGTTTTGAAATCATTTACAGACTCAGTTATTTTTGTTTAGTAGTTAATATACTTCTATTAACAACAAGCTACATTTGATTATACTTTTTTCTTGGTAAACTGTGCATTATTAGGAATTTAGGTAATCACTTTTTAGTTTTCTATGATTCCTATTTTTTGTTCGTAAAGAAAAAATAATTTACATGAAAGTAAAGTTCAATATTTGCTTCTTTACAGATTGTAGCACCTAAATTCTAAGACAAGAATTTTTCCTTTTTGCATTTCAGCGCCTTGTAAGTTGCTGCAGACCAGCTTCTAACTGGGGTCCATACCTGGAACAACATCGTGGGGAGAGATATAAAGGCATGACAGATCCCAAAAAGGAGGTTGACCATGAAATACCTACTGTTAGTGGCAGCAGAAAACCAGAATGAGATCTCATTGAGAAAAATATGATTGTATAATGTGATTATTTTTTAGAACGGAGGAAACGTATTTATTTATATGTTAATTGAATAGTAAAATGTACATACTATGCTCATGATAGTGTAATGTTTTTCACATTAAGCAGATATGCAATATAAAAATGTAAATCTCTTAATGCTAAGCCATATGCTTAGTGTATTTCCTTTTAGATTATCTATCTGTATAACACACACATAACTGTCTCTAGTTCACAATTATATTTTTGTAAATAGTATAATGCTTTTCTAATACATTGGAGGCTTTATTTTGAGCTAATTACTTAGAAAATATATTTTCTACTACACAAGTTTTAAAATATTATTTACTTGTATTTTCTTAATATACAATCTTTCTTTTCCACAAATCTGGTCGGGGGAGGTGGAAATAAATCCATACATTTAAAAGAAAGGGTTAAAACTGAAGGCCTCACTTAATTAGAAATGTGATAAATATATGGACAAATGTACTATGTATACTATAAAAGGACTATAGTTTAATAGTTTTTATCCAAATATGTTTAAAAACTGTAACATTTGTTATAGCTCATGTTTTCTATGAGAACTTACTAGTTAATGTTCTTTATAAAGAGTGAAATAAGATGGAAAAATAAGGATCCTATGGCCAGTAAGTGATAAATCTAGAAAATGGAGTTTTGAGTACTTATTTTTCCAAAAACAATCTTCCTTTCTTAGGTAATTTGGAAGAAAACTATGACCCATTTAATTTTTGTTGTGTTTCACAAAACTGAGTTGTCCATTATACTCTCTGAAATATAGATTTCATTTCAAATAGAATATGGACTTAAATGTTAATGAGAAATGGCTTTAATCAAATCTAGCCTTTTATGATTGTGATACACGGCTAATACAGTGATTTTGTCTTATATGAATACGTTACTACTTACAGCTGATAACTTACATACTATTGAAGATAAACTTCTCAAACTTGCCAAGAATCAGCAAAGCCAAATTAGAAAGTCCTATGTCCTAGTTTCCCTACAAAGGATAATTAAATATATCACTAAGAGCTTTATATATTGCTTATATATTGTTGACAACTGGTTTAAGCATCATAGGCTATGATGATAAACACTGTCTACATAGGTAAAGAACTTTTCATCAATTCTTAAATTTCTTAACCTAGGCTTCAGGGAGCATATGAAACCAAAATTATATGAACCATTTTCTGTGTGTATGTCTACATGCATTTTTCTAGGGAGAGAGTCCATGGTTTTTATCAGAATATCAAAGAAACTTGTGACCCAAAGAAGTTTAAGAATCACATACACTGTGGCCGGCATTTTGTGCTTGGCAAATGAGTGACAATAGAAGAAATAATTTTCCCTACACATTTTAAAATGTTTTCTCTTCCTTGTGTTTGAAGATAAAAGGAGTAATAAATTAAGGCATTTCTTTAATTTATATTGGTAGTTTATTTAGAGTGGAAGGGACATGAAAATAGGTAAATAGGTAGGCCTCTAATTGAAACACCTCAATAGGTTATGTACATATGCATAAGATAAAATTGTGTTTGACAATCTGAGGGTTTTCCTTCTCATTTTTCTTTTTTTTTTTTTTTTTTTTTTGGTGGAGATGGAGTCTCGTTCTGTCACCCAGGCTGGAGTACAGTGGCATGATCTCAGCTCACTGCAACCTCCGCCTTCTGGAATCAAGCGATTCTCCTGCCTCACCCTCCTGAGTAGCGGGACTACAGGCACCCACCAGCACACTCAGCTAATTTTTGTATTTTTAGTAGAGAGGGGTTTCCCCATGTTGGACAGGCTGGTCTCAAACTCCTGACCTCAACTGATCTGCCTGCGTCAGTCTCCCAAAGTCCTGGGATTACAGGTGTGAGCCACTGCACCAGGCCCATTCTGAGGGCTTTCTTTGAAGACAGATTAAATGCTGTTAGTAAACTTCAAGAGAGTGTTAATTTCTTAGTTATACCAGATTTTATAAAATAATATTTGAAAATAGATGGCTATCTAGAGATTAGAAATACTTTTCCTTAATTTTAATCTGCATTATATCACACACATTCTACCACTACATTTTGGTCATATTTAAGGTTGCAATTTTCTATAAATGACTTTTCCAATTCAGGGAAGATTTGGGCATTGTAAATGAAAGAATATCTAATTAAGGGAAGTGTGAAGGGAAAGACATCCTTTTCAAAAGCTGACCACAAAGAATAGTTAAAAGTTTTTGTCACCATCTTCACAAGTGTGGAAAGCACAGATCTTAACAGAGAGCTTGGCATATTATAGGGTGCTCAGTGATAGTTTTTATTATTATTACCCAGATTCAACAGTGGCAAGAGACATAGTTCTACATAATGGAAAACATTTCCATCAAATTCCACTTACTTTAATGCAAACTTGGAGATAATTTATAGTATTGCATCGTAAACCATTAATGAAAAGTGGTTTTCACAGTTGAGTGAAATTAAAATCACTATATCTCAACGAGACTGTTTACTGTAGCTTATTTATTGTTAAAAAACTTTTGAACTTCTTTTGTTTCTCTATTGTGTTTCCATTCCTTCTCCAGTAAATATATTTTAGCCATATGTAATCAATTACATAAAGTGTAAGAAACCTGGTAAGTATCTGAATTTTTTGTATCTGACTTGGCATCCCCTCCCTCTTAAAAATAATTCATTTAGCATAAACATACAATGAAATGAATCTACTCAAAGTGTCTTTAATGATTTCCACCACTGCAATTACATCCTGTATACTTTTGGGTGGATTTCCAGCCAACTGATACACCTCTCAAACCCTTGGTAACTAGGAAATGTTCCAATTCAGCTAGCTTGTATTCCACCATCCTGAGGTTTACCAATAGTCTCTTCTGCATGGGTATCGAGTGTGGGAAATTATTTAAAATATCCCAAGAGAGGCTGTTGATTGAAAGATTGTTGTCTGCATTGCTGTTAATCAACCCAGTAGAATAGGGTTTTACTAGTGCAAAAGCAGTTGAATTTGATGACATTTTGCCAGTGCTTCTCTGTAAAGAAAGGGAATTATACATATGTAGTTTATCGAACTAAGCAATTTCCCAACTACCAAACAATTTGGTTAATCTTGGTTACCAAAATAAACTGATTTTCCCTAAGAGGTAGAGATTAAAAGTGTATTTAATTACTACATTAATTCAAAAATATATTCTCCCAAAACTAGACTGAGAAAAAATATATACGAAAGTAGCCTTTAGTCAAAGCTCCGTATCCTTTCCTTATATTTCCTGAGCAGTCCAGTAGGTAAACACATGAACTCTGTCTTTGACTCTTATCTAAAAGCACTTCACTTGTGACTTTAACACCAGGAAATCCACATTCACACTTGAATTATTTGTGAGTGCCCATAAAATAAAGATGGTGAGATTAGCAAACAGACACGTGGGGAAGGAGAAGCAAGAGAAGAAAGAGAGAAGGTACAGATTCTTAAAGTGGGAGATGGTGGTGGGGAATGGGCACTTACAGCTGCACTTTGCTCTCCAATGAGTGAAAAGCTGACCACATAACTTAGGGACTTGGGGCTTTTTAGAAGAGAAATTTGGAAATACGTTTCCTTAATTTTAATCCACATTATGTTACACGCATTCTACCACTACTGTCGAATCACTGGTCAGAATATAGGAATTGCCGGAGTAAGGGGTAAAAATCTGGGCCTCCTTCCAACGAAAAAGAGGAATGAGGTGATCTTCTCTTACCTCTCATTTTACTATATCTTACTCTCTTACATACACACTCCCCAGTCCATATATTCATCTACCTTCATCTAATTCAAATCTCTCTTACATTCACCATTTCCTGAAAGCGATTTTTCCAGAAGATGAACATCAAGGCACACAGAATGCCTCTTGCTATAAGTAAAAAGAAGATGCCTCTTCTCTCTCTTTGGGTTGGACCCCCAAGGCTTGTATTTAGGAAGCAGTGGGCCTCTAGCCACCCGAATTTGGAAAACTTCGGGCCAGCATGCTAGGCGTCCCTGACTGCCTGGTACAAGTGGGATGCTCTGTGTTGTCCTGCTGTATATACTAAAGAGGGCACGAGAAGTCACAATTGGGCATGCACGTGGTGGTGCTACACCACAATAAGATGACATAACAACCACCCCTTCAGGAAACCAGCCAACACTTAGTAACTGCTCACCTGGTCAGTGTCAGGTCCTTTCAGATGAGAGTGAAAGACAGTGAGGAAGTTTGGGATTTCTGGGAAGCTGAAACGTGGTGGAAGGAAAGACTCAAAATGGATTGGTTACATAGAATATTTAGTGTTCCTACCTCTTAAAAAATATGTCTTTGCTGCAACCACTCTTTTATTCACTTCAAAACACAAGACAAAAATGGACTGTAAAAAGTCGTTACCCACAAATTATCTTTGCCAGAAGCTACCTCCTCCACACTCATATTGCTATTTTAGAATTTACTCAAACCCTAGTCAAATTGGAATAATTATGTACATTTGCATCATTTTACAGTTTAAGAAATAATTTTTGAGACATTTTCACATAAAAGCCTCACAATAAATTTCTACTAAAGGTGTTTTTTAAATTTCAAGTTTATATAATTTTAAATTTTTTATTTTATTTCTTAATTTAATTTATTTGTTGTTAACTTTTAAGTTCCAGGATACATGTTCAGGATGTACAGTTTTGTCACATACGTAGATGTGTGCCATGATTGCATGCTGCCAGATCTACCCATCACCCAGGTATTAATTCGAGCACCCATTAGCCCAGCACCCATTTTCTGTTCTTCCTGATGTTCTTCCTTCCCACTGATTGCACCCCTGTTCACAGGCCACAGTGCATTTTGTTACCCCTTACTATGTGTCCATGTGTTCTTGTCTTCAGCTCCCACCAGCTCCCACTTATAAGTGAAAACGTGGTGTTTGGTTGTCCAGAACCAAGGTATTTTTACTGTTGCGTCTACTTTTGTAAATGTGGAAACAGATTCATGTGTTAAACTCATTTGAAACTAATAGCAAAAGCAGGACTTGAATCCATGGAGTTTGAGCCCTGAGATAAAGACCCACATTCACATCCCTATCCACGTGATCTCTATCTCCACTCTCATTTGTGAGCATCAAGTATTTAATATTCTCCTACCATGGGACTGAACAGTGTACTTGGAGCTGTATTAATGGGAGATAACACATACAGGAATAATTTCACTAGACAAGTTAGAAATGTTCAGGAAATTCAGTTAAATGTAGACTATGGCACTGACCTAAAGACCCAGAACTAAAAATAATATCCACGGTAATCTCAAGGTGAGTGTCCAACTGCTACCTAGTAATTCTGCTAGGTAAACAACCCTCATCTTCATACAGATGGGAAGGGAGAAATTCCATGTCAAATTTTTCATATCACACCATATGAGTACAAAGCTTAAAGTTTTATTGATTCAATGAATATTTATTAAACACTTACATACTAGACACTGTTCTGTATTTTAAGAATCTGATTATAAGCAAAAATAAAGTCTTTCTTCACCTGTAATGTGCACTATAGTTTAAGGGGCAGACATTAATTACATACAGAAATGTATGTGAAAGTGCTGAGATAAATGGTACCCAGAAAGCACATGGTGATGTGGGAGCTCCTAATAAAATATGAGGTCTAAAGGGGAGTGAAGATCCTGGCTTTATGACTTAGGAGATAACAAGTTATGGAGATATGGATGGATAGAAGATAACAAGGTATGGAGTTGCTGGTCATGAATTTAGTCTTGAACAATTCAAGTATGAGGTGACTGGGAAATGAAATAAATGTTCCCAGGGAGATACATGAAGGCATAAATTTGTGAGTCATCTGCATGTAAATCATAGTTGAAACTCTAGATAAATAAGAAATTTCTTCATGTCAGTATAAGGACTACAAATGAAGAGAAGTTTGAATAGACCTTTGAAAAATTTTAACATTTAATGCCTGGGCAATAACACTTCTATTAGTATGTGATTGTGGGCTTCCTGACATCTAAGTTTTCTGTTTTATTGAATAACATTAAGTGAAGTCCATTAACCTTATCTTTAACAACAGGACATTGAATTTTGATCCTACTGTATTTAAGTGAAAACTACAGAAATCTTGGAAAATATTCTCACCAAACACATTAGAGTATTATTGCTAATGATTGACTTTTTCATTTTATTTTTTATTGTAAAATGTATATAATGTAGAATTTAACATTTTAATCAATTTTAAGTGTACGATTTTGTGGCAATAAGTACAATCACATGATTGTGCAATCTTCAGCCATCTATCACCAGAACTCTTTTAAGATTAAAAGAAACTGAAACTCTGTATTTATGAAACATTAACTTCCCACTTTCCCCTTTCCCTAGTCCTTGACAACCCCCCTTCTATTTTCTGTCTCTATTAATTTGACTTCATTAGATACCTCATTTAAGTGGAATTACACAATATTTGCCCTGTTTTGAATGCCTTATTTCAATGAGCATAATATACTCAAGTTTCATCCATGTTGTAGCATATGCCAGAATTTCCTTTCTTCCACGAAGGGTAGGCTGAATAATATTCCACAGTATGTGTATATCATGTTTGGCTTATCCTTCTGTTGATAAATTCTTGTGCTGTTTTTATGTTTTAGTATGTAAATAATGCTTCTTTGAACATGGATGTACAAAAACATCTTCAAGACCCTGCTTTTAATTCCTTTGGGTATATATGCAGAAGTGGAATTGCTGGATAATACAGTGATTCTATTTTTAATTTTTTCAGGAACTTCACAGTGTTTTCTATAGCAGTTTATATTTTCATGAACAGTGTACAAGGTTTCCAACTGCTTCATATCCTCCTCAACAGTTGTTATTTTCTATTTTCTTATTTTTTTAAATATAGTACACATCCTAATAGTTATGAAAGGTATTTCATTGTGACTTTGATTTACATTTATGATTAGTAATGTTGAGTGACTTATGTGCTTATATCTTCTTTGGAGAAATCTCTATTCAAGTCCTTTCCTGGTTTTTAATTTGTTTGTTTTCTGTTGCTGTTGAGTCACAAAAGTTTTTTACATATGCTAGAGACCAATCTCTTATCAGATATTTGAATTAAAAATATTTTCTTTCTTTGAGTTGCTTTTTCACTGTTTTAATAATGTCCTATAATGCACAAAAGCTTTTAACTTTGATGAAGTCCACTTTACCTACTTTTTCTTTTGTTGCCTGCAATATTGGTGTCATATCTCAGAAATCACCACCAAATCTAACATCATGAAGCTTTTCTCAAATGTTTCTTCTAAGAGTCGTATATTCTTATCCCTTAAGTTTAGGTATTTGATCCCTTTTGAGTTAAATTTGTATATCATCTAAAAGATCCAACTTTATTTTTTAGCATGTGTTGATCCAGTTTCCCCAACACCATTTATGGAAAAGACGAATTGTTCCTCATTGAATAGTCTGGGCACCCTTGTTGACAATCATTGACCATACACTCAAGGGTTCATTTCTGTGCTCTCTGTTCTGTTGGCTCATGTGTGTCTTTATGTTAGCAGCACATGGTTTTGACTACCACAGCTTTGTGGTAAGTTCTGAAATCAGCAAATGTGTGTCCTCTAACTTTGTTCTTATTTCTCAAGATAGTTTTGGTTACTTGATATCTCTTGTGTTTCCAAATAAATTTTAGCATGGATTTTGATATTTCTATAAAAAAACATATTTGGGATTTTCTTCTTTTTCTTTTTTAATTTTTTTTTTGCATTTTAGGTTTGGGGGTACATGTGCAGAACATGCAAGACAGTTGCATAGGTACACACATGGCAGTGTGTTTTGCTTCCTTTCTCCCCTTCACCCACATTTGGCATTTCTCCCCAGGCTATCCCTCCCCACCTCCCCCTCCCTCTGGTCTTCCCCTTTTCCCCCCAATAGACCCCAGGGTTTAGTACTCCCCTCCCTGTGTCCATGTGTTCTCATTTTCCATCACCCGCCTATGAGTGAGAATATGCAGTGTTTCATTTTCTGTTCTTGTGTCAGTTTGCTGAGAATCATGTTCTCCAGATTCATCCATGTCCCTACAAATGACACAAACTCATCATTTCTGATTGCTGCATAATATTCCATAGTGTATATGTGCCACATTTTCCCAATCCAGTCTTTCATCGATGGGCATTTTGGTTGATTCCAGGTCTTTGCTATTGTAAACAGTGCTGCAATGAACATTCCTGTGCATGTGTCCTTATAGTAGAACGATTTATAGTCCTTTGGATATATACCCAGTAATGGGATTGCTGGGTCAAATGGAATTTCTATTTCTAAGGCCTTGAGGAATCGCCACACTGTCTTCCACAATGGTTGAACTAGTTTACACTCCCACCAACAGTGTAAAAGTGTTCCTTTTTCTCCACATCCTCTCCAGCATCTGTTGTCTCCAGATTTTTTAATGATCGCCATTCTAACTGGCATGAGATGGTATCTCAATGTGGTTTTGATTTGCATCTCTCTGATGATGAGTGACGATGGGCATTTTTTCATATGATTGTTGGCCTCATATATGTCTTCTTTTGTAAAGTGTCTGTTCATATCCTTTGCCCACTTTTGAATGGGCTTGTTTGTTTTTTTCCTATAAATCTGTTTGAGTTCTTTGTAAATTCTGGATACACCCCACTGTCAATATGAGACAGATCAACCAGACAGAAAATCAACAAGGATATCCAGGGCTTGAACTCAGACCTGGAGCAAGCAAACCTGATAGACATTTACAGAACTCTCCACCCCAAATCCACAGAATATACATTCTTCTCAGCACCACATCACACCTACTCTAAAATTGACCACATAATTGGAAGTAAAGCACTGCTCAACAAATGCAAAACAACTGAAATCATAACAAACAGCCTCTCAGACCATAGTGCAATCAAGTTAGAACTCAGAATTCACAAACCTACCCAGAACCGCACAGCTTTATGAAAACTGAACA